TAAGCTATGAATTTAATTGACAGAGCAAAATACTCTTATTTTAGAGGTATCGTAACGTACCTGCCACCTTTCACACATTTTGACCAGTTACCTAATAATACCTTTAAAAAGCTGGTGAAGCAGCTCAATGAAGCTGATGAAGAAGTTTCGAAGTTAAGATGTTATCTGCTATATTTCTGCTATATTTCAGTTTTCAGCGATGTGGTGAGAGGCCACCACTGTATTATGATATCCACGATTTGGCGATTATTTTCATTTTCCGAGTTCATTGCATTACATTTCCAATTATGCTGGCTTCTGCGGAATTATCTCTGCGAATCAACAGTCGCCGCCAAGTTGGACAAGGCGACTAAGCTGAAGTGGGTACCATAATTGGAATTCGGCCAAATCAAAATACCAGCAACAGTGGGGAAATGAAAATGAATTATTGAGCAAAGATTGTGTGGCCATTCGACCGGCTTTGGGTTCCGCCACTCGCCATTTGCGATTCCCTCATTATCGGCATTTCCATGGCAACAATTCGCTATTTGTCGCCCATTTCTGAGGGATGTGTCTGACTTAGTTTCCTTAGTTGCCCTCGCAGTACCCGGCACCCTTCCGATTTCCCTGATTTTTTCAATCAAAATTTCAAAGCCAACTTAAGCTGGGCGGGATTTGGCGAATGTGTTTCCCAATGGCGCTGCAGAGGTCTGCGGAGGTCCTTGGGCGCGTTCTGGGATCCTGAGTTGGGTAGCCAAGAAAATCGCGGCCCATCCGTCCGACTGTTTGTGTGTGCTTTGTCTTATTTTCATTTCGCCCTGCTGGTTTTTATTTGTTGTCTGTTATCTATTTGTGTTTACTTTCCCTTCTCCATAAGGCGACAATCGCTTCCATCGCCATCGCCATCATCATCATCATCATCATTGGCATCTCGACATCACCATTTTGGGGCCTCGGGTGCGCGGTAATCCAAGGATGATGATACTCCCCTAAATTCCTCAAACTAAACTAAATCAAAACCGAAATCGAATCGAATTTATTGTCATCTCCATTTTGTGCCTCAGATTATGCCACAGATTCCGTCCTCGAGTTTCAATTTCAGTGTGAACTTTCGCTCTTGGGTTCACAGCAACTTGGAGTTGTTTTTCGCCATTTCGATGCCCAGTAGTAGGGACTTAAAGGGTATGTTGCGCCGGTAAAAGGTTTGACTGTCAAGAAACTAATGTCGCTAAAATGTTTAACAGGTTACTGGGCTTACTAGTAAGCCATAGGCAATTCAAATCTTACCAAACCTTGTGCTGTACAGGATATCTCAAAGTCGAATGTGTTTTCATACATTTGCCGGGAATGCTTCACTTGGCCTGAAGCTACAGGTTATGATGATTGCTGCTACTCTGTGTTTTGTGTTCTGTGTTTTGGTGCTTTGGCATTTTGTCTGCTTTTTGTTTCCGCATCGCCCCCGCAATTTCTGCTGATTGTTGTGTTTTGGAGCAGCTGCAATCAAAAATACATCATTGATGGGGCAGCCGGAGGAGCTCTGTCCACCGTCCACCGCTTTACTACTTGATTTGACTTGGCCGTAGTGGCAAACTGATGCTGACATGGCGGCTTACCCCGAAACGACTTCACTTTCGCCAGCAATTAGTCGGTCTGAAAGTTAAGTTGCATGTTGCATGCGATTGGTAAAATTTAATTTCCACCTAATTGTTTCGACTAGGTTGCCCCACTCTCTCCAGCTCCACTGACAGCCCGAGAAAGCGGATAAAGCGGAGAAAGTGTGTGTAAGTGGGTGTGTGGCATGTGGCAGCCGCGATTCCACTGCCAGCTAGTTGGTTTTGCCGGCTTGGCTTTTCCTGCAGCTGGCGTTGCTCCGAATGCCCAGACTGAATCGCTGCAGTTGACAGCGCTTCGTGCGGCTTGCACCACCCACTGCCGTGCAACACCCACCCCTCCACCCACCACCCCCTAGTTGCAGGACCACCCGCAGTGCGTGAGTGTGTGCGTTGCATTGATTTTATGGGCTTGCACATTTCATCATCACAACTTTTTGTTGCGTCTTCTGATTGCGGCTTACAATGCGTCAGATGCAATCATTTTGTTGGCTGTCTGGCTGCGGTTTTCCGCTGTGGCCCAGCTCCAGCCAGAAAATGCATCACCAGCGGACACATTTGTATTATTCCGCACTCATATATCCTTCATCACAAATAAGGTAATGGGATTTTTGAGGTACTGATCGCACAACTACACCATTAGCAGTACAAAAAAACCTTTAATGGGCTTAAATTATAGTTCAGTCTTTCAATTTTATCAAATGAAAGAACAGCATGCAGAAAAGATGTTAATAAGGTTTGCGAATTCAAATATTTGTATGAGAATTGCAATGCAAAAGAATTTCTTTACTTGTGCATTTTTTGCTCTACCTGTAAACAAATTTGACAAATTAAGTTGTCAATGTGCAACTTTCCTTGTTTTTGCTGTTCTTCTTCGCTTTTAGCCCACATATTCGACTCGATTTGTGTCGAAAAAATGGGAAACGGAAAATGGGAAATACAAAATAATAGAAGCACAAAGAAGGGCAAATTTGTTTTTGATAGAAAGTCATGTCAAAAACAATGTCCCAACTATTGTGTGTCATCCTTTTTTGTCGAGGGTGCTGTGGGCGGTGGGCGACGGGCGGCGGGGCGGGGCACTTGAAAATTGCGCCACAGACCCGTTGAGTTCGAGTTGACCCTCATCAAAAGCTAACTAAAAACTTTTCGTTTTACTTTAGTTTTTATTCCGATTCCCGTCCTATATGTCCCCGCATGGATATATCTATGGTATCTCCCCGTGTGTGCATGATTTTGTTGTTTTTGTCTCTTGGCCAAAGTGGAAAATAAATGGTTCCACAGGATGACCATTTGCGTGGTGTGCCTGGGCGGACACAGTGTGGGACAAGCGAATAGCATCTGTACATCTTTGCAACTCTGAGTAGTGAAATAAAGAGCTGAAGTGCGATATTTGCATGCAAGATTTTCCCATGATTTTAGCATGACTGCTAGCATTGTGCCCCCGGGTGTGCATGTCCTCTGTTCGCAGAAGCGTCTCCTCTACCGTGTATGGTCGAAAAGTTGAAAGCCGAGCGTCACTTTTTGCACAATCCGAAAGAACAACAACAACAGCTGTGGGCAAAACAAAAGTCAAAAGGAAAACCAAACAAAAAATCCAATAGAAATTTAAACAGTTTGACGCATTAAATACTCATTGGGCAAGTTGCCGACTTGGATTTTGGCACCAGGGTGACAATTCGTTTGGTTTCCTCAAGGTTTGGGGCATGCTTCACCAAAAAACCACAAACGGCTGGGCGAGATTTTTGACATACCATATGCGGCTGCTTTCGTCCTTATGCAATATTCGACTGAACAACCTAATTAGACAGAAATGATGTCAAAATAATTAATTAATTAAGGATTGCCATCCGTGTTTCTTTGTAAATATCTTTGCGTATTGTGCATCAACTACCACACTACCGCACTCTTAAAACTTGTGATAACATTACAGATTGCGACTTCCTCGCCCACTCATTTGGCCAAATCATACGCACAAATCTGTTGAATGTCAAGGGTCTCAGTTGGTTAAACCCGAGTCTCTGGAATCTATATTTAAGTGTGGATTGCAGGCCCACGCCCACTTCTCAGGACAGTTAACCCCTTAGCCGGCGCAAGGGCCTAGACTTAATTAGGATTCCGTGCTCATCCCGATGATAGTCATAGTCATCATAATCATCGGAGTCGTGTGTTTGGCGCGACGGTGTCAGAAGTGCCACTTCATCAGTCAGTATCGGGCGCCAACTGTTTTCCAACTGCCCGCCCATCGCTACACCTGGAGAAACAGTGGGGTGTGTTGTCAGTGCTACCTGAAATGAATTAAGCTAGAGTTGTTAGTGGGCTACTTGCACACAGCTATGTAATTTGACAAAAAAGTTCATTTTTGTTGTACAGTTGTTGAACGTTGCACTAATTGTTTGCCGTGCTCTTCATGGAAGGGAATCCAGTGCCCAGTCGGGATTGTGTGTGTTTTGGGGCTACTGGGAGTTACTGGGGGCTACTCCCCTTTGTTTGCACTGCCGACTGACGAGGGCCCAAAGGCGTTTTGCAGATTTCGGCGGACGTGTGTGTGTGGTTTTTGGTGGATTTACTCCAGGGGCATCTGCTCGGCTTAGCGCTAAAATGTGTGTCTACTGGGCTCCATCCACCTGTCATATTCGGGTGGCCAGGTGCGGCAGTGTGTGTGTGCGCTGCTGATGGAATTTTAATTAAATACTCGGGTGTCTATGTTAATTTATATGCGCATATGCTTAGCCAGGCCAGCCAGTCTGAGCCCGAGCAATTCCATTCTCCGCTTTCCACATTGATATGACGAGGACTCACCTTTGAAGTGGCTGCGCATGTTTGTGATTAAGAGCTTTTTGGGCGCCTCGTGCTCGCGCCGCACTCCTTAGCTCGGCTTCATTGTTTAAAATTTAATTATAATTTAATGCTTAGTAAGCACTATTTCCCGCATGAAACCCCTCGCTTTGGCCACCCCCATTCGAACCCCATTCAGGTTGCTGCGGTTTTGCTTTTTGCCCAGCCACTTGATATTATCACGTCGCCATCCGGTTGGCTGTCTATCTGTTGAGTGTCTGCCCGTCTCACCCACTCGTTTCCAGGAGCTCTGGCTTTGTGGATGCCTCTGTTTTCGATGTCCTTCAAGTCCTTTGGTCTCATCAGGCTTTTGTCTGCGCTTAAGTCCCGTCACCTGGCTCCGTTTTGAAAGACATGATATGGAAATAATTCGCAGCGCGGTTTGGCTTTCTGGAATTTGCGTCGGCAACAGATTGGCATTTTCGCATAATGCTGGCTAAACTAATTGCGGTTGAAAGGAATGCGTCTTACATTGTTGCTCTTGCAACCGAATATTTGCACTCAGAAATAATTCAAAAAGCTGCCGATTGCATTGCAATCCTTTAAATCGAGCGATTCAATCATTGTGTTCTTTATTTTTACAAAATATATACTCTTCTATCTAAAATTTATGTACATGCTGCGTTCCTAACATGTGACTCCACCGCTTCTCATTCGTTCTCGTCCTGGCGCACACTCATCCTGGCCAGATTTGCTCGGCTGATGGCATGTCCTGGCTGGAGCTCCAAGGCCTTGTGGTAGCACGCCACTGCTTCCTTCCGAAGACCACGCATCTGCAGGATGGCGCCCAGATTGGCATGGGCATGGGCAGCCAGCGGTTGCAGGGTGACCGCCTTTCGATACCACAGCTCCGCTTCGGCCAGGCGATTCAGCAGACGCAGTGCATCCGCCACGCAGGATTGCAGGATGTAATCCTGCGGCGCCAAGGCAGCGGCTCGCAAGCGAAGGCTAAGGGCTTCGTGATGCCGCTCCTGCTGCTCCAGGAAGTCGGCTGCAACGAAAAGTTATTGTCATATATACAAATTCGTATCACAAGTACAAGTAGCTTACCATAATGATGATGCGAACTGGGCTCCAGTGGCGCCAACTGCAGTGCTCTTTTGAACCAGGACTCTGCCTCCGCCAGGCGACTGCCCTGCAAGTCCAATAAAATATGTTATTACCTTATGATTGGGATTGCATGTGACACACTTACATTCCTGGCCAGCGTCTGGCCATAGGTGACATAGGCTGCCCCCTGCTCCGGCTGCAAATGCAGCGCCAGTCTCTGCTGATGCTCGGCCTCGGCCCAATCCTGCAGCTCCGCCAGGATTTCGCCGAGTCGCAGATGCAGCACCGCCCTCTGCCTTTGAGGCAGCACAGGCAGAGCTTTTAGGGATTCCTTCAGCGTCGCAGCAGCATCCCGCAGTCTTCCTTCGGAGCGGTAAAGGACACTCAGTTGCAGGTAGCAGGTGTAGCGTGCCTCCACGTGGGCCCCCCGATCCCGAACCCCATTCCCCTCCAGACGAGCTCCGGTCCGCAGCACCGAGATGGCTTCTGGCCGATGGTCGCCCAGGGAGATCAGGGATGTGCCCAGATTCAAGTAGGCCACCGCCAGCTGGGGTCGCAATTCGATGGCCCTGCGAAAGCATGGAACTGCCGAGCTGAAGTTCAGCTGCTTCTGGTGCACCACGCCCCTAAAATATGCCAAGGAAAACGGGGTTTAACATTTATCAGCCAAAGTGCATTTTCCCAAATTCCACCAATCATGCGGCTCTAAATTCTTAATGTTGAAAGCATTGCTGAAATGAATAGTTTTCGAATGCCTTAGGTAAAAGAGTGACTTTATTTCCATGCTGTCCATCTCGTTGTTGATGGCCTAAGCTGATGTTATTACTAAATTGTACCCAAATGTTTTACAGAATTAAGCATAAGCCATTCTGGCATTGCGGCTTACTTCTGCAGCCGAACAATGCACTTGAGTTGCCAAGGAAATGCACTCTTCATAGTTTTTGCTTTTCACTCAGCAGGAAGCGTAGAAAAAGTTGTTTGAAAAAATATGCGAAAAATATGGAAAAGAGAAACCAGTGAAAGTAAAGTTACTTAACTCGCGGGCTGAAGCCTCCAAAAGTGTTGGAAGTAAATTAACTTTGCGTTTGCTTTGCTGCGGTTCCCACGGGCTAATTGCAGAGTGCTGACCTTCAAGTTGATTTTAGCCGGCTTCATTAAATCAACGGACAGCTGGATTCCCCAACTCGCTGTGTACACTCGACCATATATTTCCATATATTTCGTATATATGCATATACCTATATCACTGTCGTCTGGCGGTTATCCCTTCACATCGCTACACATCCTGCAAACCCGGATGTCTGGGGGCCCAAAAATAGACAACACAAAGTTTCAACGGATCGCATGCATGGATAAGTGATTCTAAATAAAGGCAGCGTTTTGTTTGCCACATTCCAGAAGCATGTGGCGCTACAAAATGGTGCAAAATAAACCCAGGCCCAGATTGCTCCTATTTCTGCAAACCAGCCGCATCTGCAGCAGCAACCAAATAATTCAAACAAACAGCGAGTCCTGAAAATGTTGTGTTGAGTAGCGACAAGGCTATAAAATCAACAAGAGGGCCGTTTGTAAAGACTGCGGATTTGGACAAAAAGCGGATTATGTATTTCGAACTGGGATTTTTAAAATAGATACCTACAAATATTGATGTTTGACATAACGTCCAGTCAGGAATATTATTTTATTACAGAAATAAAATGTCTCATTAATAAGATTAACTTGCTCGTTTTACTACAAATTTGAATATCTTACATAAACATGGTTCTTTGTTTTAAATTCGGAAACTTTACCCACAAATTGAATAAATACATGAAAAAAGTAATGCACGATTCTGTTGTTTTAGTCTGGTATAGCAAATAAGGAACCCTTTTCAGAAAAACCTACCAATTCACATTGTCATCATGGGATGACTTTTAATATGGGAAGCTTTCTTTTATTTGCGAAATTTACATATCCCACCCATGGATTTTCCGATTAGCTTTTCCACCAGATACTAGATACTATATAGTAGATACTAGATACTCCACTCTGGAGTGGGTGTGAGCAAACTTTTCAATGAACACTCGCATATGCCGCCGCATGGAGAGCTGAATTTGTTTAAATTTTATTTTCGAATGAGCAGCCATTCGACATTCCATGCTGAAAATCCCTCGTTGCCCACAATTTCATTCCCCGATTTTCCGAGCTCTCTCTCTAAAATTTGTATGCTGCATTGGGGCTGCATTTTCACAGCAAGGAGGAAAAAAAATAGATGTGGGGGAAATAAAACAAGCGAAAAAAGGAGCCGAGTGAATGCATGCGAATTGCAAGCGAACAACGCATGGATTTGCTCAACTGAATATTGAGTATTCTATTTTATACCATGCCATGCCATTCGGGCCAAAAGAAAAACAAGCCATGTTATTCTATTTATTTTCATGGGTCTCCCCCATTTTCCGCCCTGTTTTTTTTTGTTTCTTTTTGCAGGTAAGCAAACGGTAGCTGAACGAAAATAAAACGAGCAGAAAGAGTGAAAACGAGAAATCGAATTATACAGCTCAGTGATTTTTTGGTTTTGGTGTTTGGCTGTCTGTTACTTTGACTTTCCATCACCCATTTCCGCCCACCACCCAACCGTTCCTTTGCTGTGGCATTTGGCATTTTGCAGCTAAAAATCAGAGCATCCCCGTCCGGCCCAGGAGCACAACAAATCCCTGACAGTTGACTGGCGCATCAGAAACAGAAACAGGAGCTGGAGCTGAGGAGCTGAGGAGCTGAGGAGCTGCTCCTTGCAACAGGCAGCAACAGGATGCTTTATGTTCCGGGTGGAGGCGGCACGTGGCGGGATCGGAAAATCCATAGCCACAGGGCGCAAGGTGCCGGCTAGAGATATCCCGGCTATTGATGGCTTACGAGTAAATAATGTACAAACAGCTGCTTATCCGCAACGCACTGGCACCCCGGAGCTACGTTCCCGGTTGGTTTTTAAAGGGTGGCCACCAGCCACCAGCCACCAGCCACCGGGGTTGAAGGCCACCTGGCATTGATTTTCGATTAGAAAATTCTTAAACACCCCACCACTTCATCACGAGCCATCGAAAATTCACAGCTCGCCACAGCGCTTAAAGCTTCATTATGTAAATGCTTCAATCTGCTCTTATGACTTTTAGATTAGAGAGTTGTAAAATTCATAGCTCTAGAGTATTAAAACAGTACCTAAAAGAAGTTTGCAACAAAATAGTTAGCCAGTCAGGATACTAAAACAAAGCTAAAAGCACCTTTATAATGGTTACACCAGCCAACTAAGACTTGAGTTTCCAAAGCTATAAGGTGCCTCTTCCTTAAAATGGAATATTGCATGGTGTAGCCAAATCGGAGGCCATGGAAAAGAGGCTGCATTCTGCAAGTGGACTGGGCAAAAATTCAATCAGACAACTTTTCGATAAGCTGCAAAGGCAACGCAGCCTTTGGGAGTGGGAAAGTGGGGAAGTGGGCGAGAAAAGCGTTTTAAACTTTCCACGGCACTAAAATGAAATCTCTGCCTGGGCTTCCCAGCACTTTGGACTTGGTCAGGGGCCAATGTGCCAGCGGCTAGGCATCCGGAGTAGGAGTGGAAGTAGGATCCAAAGCCATTGCCCGCCATTCACCCACTGAGTTGGCCAACGTCTAGTGTATCGTTTTGAGCCAAGTTAATAACCTGCAGGCTAGCGAAGCCTTAGCAGTTATGAAGTTCGCGCTTTGCTTTTATGTCATTGACATTATTTGAAATTTTATCTAAGCCGTCAACAGTTGTATTTTTCTTTCTCCTGCTTTCTCCTCCGTTCTTGGCTTTTTCATATTTTTTACAAGGGTCTTCCCCGAGGATTATAAAGGATATTGCGGCGCGGCAGTAGATTTTGCGCCGAGAACTTGTTACCCAATTAGAACAGACATGTAAATAGACTTTAGATGGGTGATACAGATCATTATAGTGATAAAATATGTCTACCTTATCTTAAACGAAGATATACTGCTGTTTTTTCATATTTAAGTACCTTTTTCAGCACGCCTTTTATAAAAGTAAAACACTTTCTCGTTTTGCTCATCTCGTGATTTGTATACTCATCACAGCTCAGTGAGCAATAAATGAAAAATATTTATTGAATCTCATTCAGGCATTGTTAGAAAATGGTCATGCATAAAAACTACACTTTCTTTTTACAAAAAATCTTCGTGGGCATTAATGTAACAGTCTTCCATAAGCCGATAATCCGCTCATATATAAACACATCCACACAAATAAGCACTTTAAAGTGGCTTTTTTGGAGAGACGACGAGTGAACCAAATCGCTCTGGTTAAATATTTATTTAAATGAGGAAAAACAGAATTACTGCATATTTGGCTTCCATTGAAACAATGAGCTTAATACACTCACGGGGTTAACTTTTCCCTCCCTCCCAGTTTGCCATAGTTTTAGCATTCACTTTTCTCGAACTCGAAACGAAGGCAATTCGGCGCAAAACGATTATGGTATTCATGACTGAGGTAGGAGTATCCGTTCCCCAGATGCTGCCATTGTCCATGGCTCCCGGGAGTGCTCAGCAATTATTTGTATTGGGCTTGGGCTGGGCTCTGCAGCAGCCTTTTCCCCGGCGGAAAAGCTGGAAAAATGACTTGGCAAGCGAGCGAAAAGGGATTTACCTACAATTTGCCAAAGAAGCAAAGCGAACGGATTTATTCCGTGGGTCCTCGGCTCTCCTTTTTTGGAGCGTAAAGCCTATTATGTCAAACACAATAATCAACAACGAGCTGCAAGGCGACGGCAGCAACAGCAGCAGCAACAATAGTGACAACAGGGCGTATGAGCAACTTGGCTGCAAGGACACGCGGCTATTGGGAAAGGGTGTGAACTGTGAGGAGTGCGAGCAGCTCGAGGAGCGGCCGGCAGTGGAAATGACGTCCTGCATATTCAAAAGGAGTGGAGCAGTCAACTCACAAGCGCCACAGTGGTTGGTATGGTAGAAAAACTCAGCAAGGATGTGTGCTAAGTACTGGTAAGTAAGTTCCAAGTACTTAAAAGCTCGAAGGCTCTATCTGTTAATAAGGAATTAATTGTAGTTGGATTTATTACAACATGTAAAGATGTACTACATTCAATTTCCATTGTTAGCGTTAGTTGATTGCCACACTAATTGAATTCCACACATTTTTTGACAAGCACTTCCGCTTTTCTGCCCAGGGTGTCTTCGATACGGCGCCGAGTGGCATTCGTTAAGCGTTGGCATGTTTGCGCTTCTCTCGTAATGCATAGTACTGCTGCCCAAATCCCAGTGGAAGGACCAGCACGAGGACGAGGATGTGGCAGTCTGGGCACAGGGTGCTCAGTTGGCGGTCGCCGTTAGCGTCGATGCAACGAGTAAATTGCACTATGACTGTACAAAGCTGGCTCAGAGTGTGCCTGCTGTATGTCCAAAGTAGAAGTGTCATTGGCCCCGGAAAATGGAATGGGGAAGAAAATGGGGGTGGGAAAAGCCTGGGAAATGCGGGGGATAAGCAGGATGCCAGCGTCATGCGTCAGCAGTTTTATTTTCTCATATTGTTGCATCAAGTGCAGCTTGTAAGCAGAAATGCCAATTCCAGCCATGTTGTTACTAGTTTTCTATTCTGATTCTGATTCGGATTGGGATTCTCATTCTCATTCCAGTCGCAGATATGCCCTTGTTGTTATGTTTGTGCAGGATATTATATATGCCGGGGCTTTTGTTTATTTATTGTTTTAGACAAGGGAAAAAGTCTCGAAATGCCGGGGAATGCAATTGTCGCAGCTGCTGCTTTATTGCATTGCAGTACACATGTACGTGTTCGACTTTGGGCACCAAAGATCGCAGTCAAAAATGGATCTGGTTATAAATTAGACCTCTGCAGATTAAGGCACATTTTTCACAATCCAGTTTTCCATTTCGAAGGCCACTTACTTATGCATTTGTAATTTACAAATTTCCAACTAATCTTCAGCAAACATTTACCCAGCACATATTGGTATAGGCCCAATTCTAACTTTCTCGAGAACCCTTTAAATGGGGCATGTGCCTTCGATGGAAATACCAACTCCATGTGTACTTAGCAACCGGCCAGCAATTGCGAGTATCTCGAAGAATCAGAGTCTCACTCGTAAGCCCATTCAGTTTTGGCCTAATTAACAGCATATCTGCAGGGGATTAGGGTGCGCAATGGCTCTTGCATTCATTTCAGTCGTATTGTTTCAAAGGTTCCGTTGCCGTTGCCCCACTCACAAAGGTACAAAAGGAGTACAACCGGCGGGTAAATGGGAAAAGCGGGGCGGGGCGGGGCGGGGCGGTGCGTGGCTGTGGGCGGTTAAAAAACTGAAACCAGCAGCTATTTGCTGTTGATGGCTGCCGAGTGCATGCAAATTGCCACCCAAAAGATGCAAAACATGTGCCCCCTGCGCTGCGCTGAAACTAAAGTTTCTGACCGAGTTGATTTGTATGCGCGTTGCATCTGGGCAGTCTTCTCATTCGCCCAGCCACCCACTTTTTTGTCGCTTTTCCTCAGATGTTGTCCGAACGTTTTTGCCGGCAAACGGAAGAGGGAACAGAACAGCGACTACAGAAGCATCTGCCACTTCGGCATTAAGAGCAGCCTCCACACCTTCGCACCCCTGACCCACCATCGCACCACCCAAATGCCCAAGGTCGCGACAGCCATTCACTTTGTGCTTTTGAATTTTCAAAAGACTGCCAGCAAAAACTGACATCATTTTGTGGATTCAGGTTTCATGTTACGCGGCTAAGGCGCGAGTCGCGCTTCAAAATGCAAAGGGTTTCTCGGGGTTTTTGGGTTTCGGGTTTTGGGGACCACCTCACATGGTGGTAGCGTTTACTCACAGATTAAAGTGAGCATCAGCCATGGTGGGCCGGTGTCCAAGGGCCATCCTCAGAGCGAGTTCCGCATCCTCGTATCTTCCTTGGGCACTCAGTACGCTGCCCAGGTTGCCCAGAGCTGAAAAAAATACAAAAGCCATGGATTATACTTTTGCCAAAATGTGTAGATAGATCAAAAATATTTATAGTATTTTGTTGATATAAATAACTGAGGAATGATGCACTCACCCTTTGGAGGATTTATAGCGATGGCGCTGCGGAATAGCTGCTCCTCATGCCGCCAATCCCAGTTGCGCCTGCAGGTGCGCAGTCCATGGACACCAAGGAGCAGTGCCAGGCCGCAGAGGAGCATCAGCCGGGAGCGCCGGGAGCTATTGACGCGCTGCCAGAGACGGCCGAAACCGAGGCCAAAGAGCAGACAATAGCCAACACTCGGCAGATAGAGCACCCTTTCGGCCATTACAAATCCCACGTAGAAGAGCAGATTGCTGGCGGGCAGGAACGGCAACACCAGGAAGGCAGTGCCCAAGATGGGGGCTGCTGTCCATGCTGTCCAGCTTTTCGAGGCGGAGGAGGTGGAGTAGATTGCTGACGCAGAACGATAGCTGGGGGCAGAGAGCTGATGGTGGCAGTCGCAGGTGAGGCCCAGCCAGGTGTGGCAGCTATTGGCGCCCAATCGCCTCAATAGGGGCAGCGAAATGTGCGCCACCTCCGCAAAATCCATCGGTGTGGCTGACCTACGCAGTCCAGATCCCTTCCACAGTAAGGCAACTAAGGTTCCGTAGAAGCCAGCCGTCAGGATATTTCGGGCATCCCAAAGCGTTCTGATCCGCGGCACAGCCTCCATGCCCCAGTCGAAGCTCAGCTCCTGTGGCCAGAGCAGAATGCGACAGTTGGCCACTGGCAGGTACAGAAAAGTTAGCGTCCTTGTCCAAAAACAGGATTCATGGGCCGTCGGATTATCGGCGGCCGAAAAGGCGGTGGAGGGGCGTGGCAGGAGGCTCAGTCGACAGTAGAGGGCGCACAATAGTGTAAATCCCAAAATGCTGAGCGAACGCAAGCGGTGCTGCAAGTTGAAAGGAGTTAATCAAATTACTTGTCATATTGGGCAAAGCATCCATCACACACACACACCTTATCGCTGTTTTCGCGACCGACAGGCGACAGGACATCGCACAATCCGCACAGGAGCAGCGCCGTGATGGCCGTCTCCTTGCAGAGAAGTGCCGCCAGCGCCAGGACAATGGTCAGAATGAGGGATCCCCACTCGCGGTTCAGCATGTGCCGACGGTAGGAGAGGTAGACGAGCAGGTAGCAAACACAGGCGGCCAAATCCGCCCTGCCCACCAGGCCGGCAACCGCCTCCGTGTGGGCGGGATGGACGGCGAACAGTGCGCCGGCGGCCAGGACTCCCATTCGAGATGGCAGGAGCGTGGTCGCCACCAGGACCACCAGACACGTGGCCACACAGTGGAGCATTACGTTGACCAGGTGATAGCCCATGGGTGCCATTCCGCCAGCGAGGAAGTTCAGCCGGAAGCTGAGCACGCACAGCGGTCGCCAGGAGCCGTGGGATCCACTGTCCATCAAGGGAGTGCCCCAGAAGTCGTTCCGCCAAAGATTGGCCAATGGGCGAGCTCCTGTCACGTCGCCATTCGCCAAGATGGCGCGCCTGCAAAAAAAAGATAGAAGGAGGAACGCAAAGATTTATGCTGGTACACTGACGCAAAATACTTAAAATTACAAAAGATATTTGATATTTAAAGAAATTTAAAAATATATGATATCGTGAGTATATAATATGGAATACAAGAGTATTTCCTTAAATAATGTTACGCTCTTGAACTAATTAAAATTAAATTGACATAGGTTTGTTATAATAAGCCACATTTGGTGTTAATTTTGTGGCTCCTCGTTTCCGGAAAATGATATGTAGGCGTTCGGCTCACATTACCTCTGCCCGGAACGGACAACAACAACCTGTGGCACACCTGTCCAATTAATTAAAATGATTAATTGTACAGCCAGGACTTGGTATACGAGTATCTCTCCATTTCCCACCTCCCATCTGCAGTTGCCCAAAGTAGCCCCAAGTTGACTCCTTTCGTCTCGACTTTCCTGCTACACGAAACCGGAGAGTCCTGAATTCTATGGGGCCACTTGAGTCTACGCCTCCTGTCCTTTTTATTTTGCTTTTACTTAGATTGGTTGAAACTTTGCGGTGGGGAATGTTTGTTGGGCAAACGGTTATAATAATGTACTTAACTTTGATTTATTCTAAAATAGTGAAAAATAGTTTCAATTAGTACTTGGAATTTTTTAGCCTGGTTTTTTTTTTACGTATTCATTAACGAAAGACACTTTTTTTATTGATAGCGTGTGCCATGGTCTGCTGTATTTACTCGTGGCAATTTTATGTCTGGCCATTTGTATTGTCCTTTTGTTTTTGCACTCGGCATAAATATTGTTAAAGTGCCAAGCGACAGTTGACTCGCCTGCCCCGCCCTCGTTTTCGAGCGACCGCCCCTCGTCCTTGCTGTGCACTTGCCACTTGATTAATTGCCGATTTGTTGGCGTATTTTGTGCCTTTGTTGTAAAACAGTACACACACACACTGAAACACACACCTACAAGCGAGCACAAACAGCAGAACCGGTGTCATTGTATTAGGGTGTATTAGGGTGGTGGAAGGTCCTTGGTAATTGCCTCGCCGTTGTAGCGCTCCTTGTTGTCCTAATCGATTTGGCCGGCACAGTGGCTCCGGGTCAGGTGGCCATATAATCAGGGTTAGTTTGTTATCGGCGTTGTTGCTGCTGTTTTGTGGCAATTTATAGAGGGCTTGCAATAATACCTTGGCCATTTTATGCATAATTAGTTTTTAGATGTGCCCAGCAAATGTCATTAATTAACTTTCCAACTTTGCACAGGGCGGCTCGCAGTTGAGTTTAGAGGACAGCATTGTCCGCAACAATATTGCATCAATATATTTATCAATGTCACTCGATTCACTTCGATTGGATAACTTTTGAGAGATATAAATGACACAGGGTTGGGTAAATGTTAATCATTAACTTTTAGCTTAAATGTTTGCTGTTTGGCAAAAAGTTAATAGTCCTGTTTAATCTTTGTGGGCGCTAATATTAAAATTCAATCAAATGGCTTGAAGCACAAAATATTTTCCATTAATAAATTGTATGTATTTACATTGCATATTTGCCGATTTGATGGGCCATCAATTAATTATGCTTATTTTATTGGTTGAAATTTGTAAAAATAAAATTCGTTTGATTTCTCGCTTAAAGTCACATTTTTAATACCAGAAACAAGTTTCGTTTCATTTCACAACTGTAAAACAAGATTGAATGATATAGTCGAGTTTCCCGACTATCAGATACCCGTTACTCAGCTAGTGGAAGTGCAAACGACAAATTTCAACATTTCCTGGAATATCGGTAGGGAAAAAAAATTATATATGTAATGAAGAAAAACTTAAAATTTTTTTAAAAGTGTGGGCATCGGATTTATACAACATCATCACATCAAAAAAATCACAAAAAATTTAAAAAAAATAAATTTCTAAATTTGAATGCAGATATTTAGAGAATTGCGCCAGAAACATTTAGAGGTATACCACTTCAAAATCCGATGAAGATAAGTTGAGTTATGGAATTTAGAACTTCAGCCTTGGGACATTTCTCAATTTTTTTGAATAACTACAATATCATGCATCAGAAAAATGACAAAAAAATTGAAAAAAATTTGATTTCTAAATTTGAATGCAGATATTTAGAAAATTCCGCTAGAAACATTTAGAGGTATGCCACTTCAAAATCCGATCAAGATAAGTTGAGTTATGGAGTTTAGAACTTCAGTCTTGGGACATTTTTTTTAATTAACTACAATATCATACATCAGAAAAATGACAAAAAAATTGAAAAAAAAATGATTTCTAAATTTGAATGCAGATATTTAGAGAATTGCGCCAGAAACATTTAGAGGTATGCCACTTTAAAATCCGATCAAGATAAGTTGAGTTATGGAGCTTAGAACTTCAGACTTCGGACATTTTTTTGAATCACTACAATATCATACATCAGAAAAATGACAAAAAAATTGAAAAAAATTGATTTCTAAATTTGAATGCAGATATTTAGAGAATTGCACCAGAAACATTTAGAGGTATGCCACTTCAAAATCCGAGTAAGATAAATTGAGTTATGGAGTTTAGAACTTCAGCCTTGGGACATATCTCAATTTTTTTGAATCACTACAATATCATACATCAGAAAAATTACAAAAAAATTGAAAAAAATTTGATTTCTAAATTTGAATGCAGATATTTAGAGAATTGCGCCAGAAACATTTAGAGGTATGCCACTTTAAAATCCGATCAAGATAAGTTGCGTTATGGAGCTTAGAACTTCAGACTTCGGACATATCTCAATTTTTTTGAATCACTACAATATCATACATCAGAAAAATGACAAAAAAATTGAAAAAAAATTGATTTCTAAATTTGAATGCAGATATTTAGAGAATTGCGCCAGAAACATTTAGAGGTATGCCACTTCAAAATCCGAGTAAGATAAATTGAGTTATGGAGTTTAGAACTTCAGCCTTGGGACATATCTCAATTTTTTTGAATCACTACAATATCATACATCAGAAAAATGACAAAAAAATTGCAAAAAAAATTGATTTCTAAATTTGAATGCAGATATTTAGAGAATTGCGCCAGAAACATTTAGAGGTATGCCACTTTAAAATCCGATCAAGATAAGTTGAGTTATGGAGCTTAGAACTTCAGACTTGGGACATTTTTTTGAATCACTACAATATCATACATCAGAAAAATGACAAAAAAAATGAAAAAAAAAATGATTTCTAAATTTGAATGCAGATATTTAGAGAATTGCGCCAGAAACATTTAGAGGTATGCCACTTCAAAATCCGAGTAAGATAAGTTGAGTTATGGAGTTTAGAACTTCAGTCTTGGAACATTTTTTTGAATCACTACAATATCATACATCGGAAAAATGATAAAAAAAATTAAAAAAAAATTTATTTCTAAATTTGAATGCAGATACTTAGAGAATTCCGCTAGAAACATTTAGAGGTATGCCACTTCAAAATCCGATGAGTAAAAGTTGAGTTATGGAGTATAGAACTTCAGCCTTGGGACCTTTTTTAATTTTTTTGAATTTCTACATCAGAAAAATTACAAAAAAATTAAAAAAAAAATAAATTTTTAAATTTGAATGCAGATTTTTAGAGAATTGCGCAAGAAACATTTAGAGGTATACCACTTCAAAATCCTATGAAGATAAGTTGAGTTATGGAATTTAGAGCTTTAGCCTTGGGGTATTTCTCAATTTTTTTGAATCACTACAATATCATACATCAGAAAAATGACAAAAAAATTGAAAAAAAATTGATTTCTAAATTTGAATGCAGATATTTAGAGATTTGCGTCAGAAACATTTAGAGGTATGCCACTTCAAAATCCGATTAAGATAAGTTAAGTTATGGAGTTTAGAACTTCAGCCTTGGGGCATTTCTCAATTTTTTTGAATCACTACAATATCATACATCAGAAAAATGACAAAAAAATTGAAAAAAAATGATTTCTAAATTTGAATGCAGATATTTAGAGAATTGCGTCAGAAACATTTAGAGGTATGCCACTTCAAAATCCGATTAAGATAAGTTGAGTTATGGAGTTTAGAACTTCAGCCTTGGGGCATTTCTCAATTTTAGTTAGGCGTTAGAGTTGGTGTAAAGCTGCATGCTTTTTTTCGGCTATTTGATCCTTATCAAGAATATATATACTTTATATTGACTTCCTTCTGCCTGTTACGTTCTTTTCAACGAATCTAGTATACCCTTTTACTCTACAAGTAACGGGTATAATTAATTTCATTCTGTTAAATAATGAAGTTATGTGCACTGATATTGATTTAAGCTTTTTTTAGCCCCAGGCTGTAGTTTTAGGTTCTTTTGGGGCACACAAGAGTTCAAAGGTCGTGCAAACAGAAACATATCCACTGCGCCTGGAGGCCATTGTGGGTTGGAAAGTCCAAAGAAAAGTCATGTGCAAACACATAAGTTAGAGAGCATTTTGAATAAAAATTGGGTTTTCAATTTAATATTTTATTTATCATTCGAATTTGAATGCCACGGCATGGGTGACCGGAAATGTGAATTGTGGCGGGTCTTGTGCACATGTGTGTGCAGTTCTTTCAGTGCCTGGATATGGTAATAAAAAACGAGGTGGTGCAGAATGGCGTTGCCACAAATTGGGTTTACAAATTCGCCGCAGGGACGTGCCCAACTATAAAGCAGTCTTATTGCCAAGGACCTGCGTCGCTGGTGCCTTTTTCTGTAAGTGGTTTTCGGGTGCGGGACGGAGCCCCACTCATCTACACTTCACTTCCAATTGGCATTCCGAAGAAACCAGCACCCCACATCAACCGATCCCTTTTAGTTTGCGCCAAAGCAGCCACAAAAATGTCCTCGAGAGCAAACAAATTCTTATCGGAAGAGCACAAAGCAAAAGCACAGAACGCAGATGAAGGAGCTGCTAAGTCGGAAATACTCGCATGCTGGGCACAGTTGTGGCTGAAATGCCAGGGCTTTCTATCATACAACTCAATTCAATACAATAAGAGATCATTTTACACGTTTTATACACCTAAAACTATTTTATTATTGCTGTTATAGATTGGTGGTAAGCAATAATATGCTTTCAAGGACATCCTCCACGATACGAGTATAATATTATGTATGCTAGCCAAAATTAGACATGGAATCCTAATCCTATGGCCGTTGTTGTACTACACCTAGCCAAATTTAGGGTATAACTAGTACTACTTCAGGCTGCAAGCGTTTCCAAGCTTCCTGCAGCTCAAAAACGAACCAAAAATGCTTCCACGCCTCATTTGCAAGGCGATGTCAAGGTAGCGTTCGAGTATAAAAGAAATTTCATTGCATACCTCAGGGCGGATGCACACAAAAGACGTCTATTTGCGCCGGGTACTACTCGTACGGGAATGGAGATGGGCTTAACTCCCGACCCATCGAGGGGTCGAAGGTGAAGTCAACTCGAAGTCAGCGTCAACATTATCGTCATCAGCAGAATTTCCGCAGTTCCTTTTTTTGTGCTTTATCATCGTAACTAGTGAGTGAATAGCAACAACCAAAACATCAACACCCACCGACAACAACAACTGGGGAGGGGGAGTGCGGTAGGTGGGCGGACTGGAGGGGCGGCAGCAACAACAATGGCCGGCTTGAAGCAGCTTACAAGTGCGGCATGTTGCTGCCCTTATCGCTCGCTTTTCACTCCCAACTCAGCCAGGAGGCCAGAGACAGGATCAGGATTCTGAGGAGAAAGCGGAGACAGAGGAGCAGGAACCAAGTCCCAGGCAATCGAGGAGGAACAGCCAGCCACAACGCACACGCTGCACAGTGGCACCAAAGACCATTGTTTGGTAATCAACTTTATGGAACATTGAATCTTACTAATATATAAATATAAATAAATACGAGTGCTGTATTTGGTTAATTAAAAACTCACTGGGTATAGAAGGTAATTTTCAAATCCTTAGATCTTTATCCACTTTTCCCAAGCTTTAGCCGAATATTTACGTTACCCTTTATATGACAAAATGTGCATAAATATTTGGACTTCCACGCCACTGTGTGGCTCATATGCCACACACAAAAGCACCAACAGGCAAACAGGACTGTGGTTGGCTTTTGTTGAAGACAATATATCATAGCATCAGCACCGAATGTGGACACCATTCAGTGCCTGCCCCACCGCTTTCCCATTTCCCCCGCCCATTTCCCTGGCTACCCACAACATTTGTATTTGCTGCTGCCGCTGTGCTTATGTAAAGTGAAAATTTTCGATTTTATATAGGTACAAGAAAAAAGAGCACCCATTTCGGCTACTCTGCTGGCAAACGAACACCCATCAAAACACCCACCCGTCGCTTGTGAGGAGCGGAGTGCCTAGCGTCCGGTGGTTGTGTGCCATCAAAATTACGTATACGTAACGTTGTTACTGCTGTTGTTGAATTTTTACAGCCGCTGTTGCTGCTGCCGTTCTTATTGTTGTTGTTGTTGTCGTTGTCGCTGTCCTTTTAATACGGCACATAAATTATTGTAAGACTGCAGATTGGGGGCTGTTTGGCAGGGATTTTTTGTACCTTTTTGGAAAATGGAAATATATCAACTTGAAGGTGTGAATCGGGCGACCAATAAAAGCAGGCACATTAAAGTCGCAAGGACCTCTTTAAAAGGTTAGAGCACAAATATTTGGCCGCAGCGTAAACGGAAGTAAAAGAGTGCGCCACCAATCACACATAATTATATCCCATTAGCTCAATTATTGACAAACTTCTCGATCACCACACTTTATCAAAAAGTTGCCAGCCATAACTTATTAAAATCTCATATCTCCCTTTTAACAATTGCCAGCAACAGAGCTTCCCAGTGCCAAAACACTTTCCTTCCCCTCCAGCAGCCCGATTCCATTGGTCTTTTTCCAGTTGATAGGAAACAAATTGAAGGGAATTCTGCCATTTAATAAATCATGTTTTGTCTGGCCCGGCTTGACAATAATAACTTGTGCTCGTGTGGTCATGTGGCCATGTTGTGGGATGACCGCAGAGCGTACGAAAGGACTAGCCGATAGGTAGGTGCCTGCACTGAGAGAAATTAGCCAAATTTTCTACGATTCTTGCTAATGAATCTCTTTGAATCACTTTTGCTCAAACTATATTATTTCTCAGTGCTCAGAACCAGGCACCGGTTCCAACTGCGTGAAAGTGACCGCAGGACCTTCCGCCCGAGCAAAAAACATAAACTCGCATCCAACTTTTCCGTGTGGCACTAAGGGGAAGCTGAGTTACATAAGTTGCGTTTATTATTTTCCTCGAAAGTGTGTGCGTGCGTGTGTGTGGCGGTAAGTTTTGCGCTTGTTTTCTGGACAGCACAAAATAACGAGCAACGGCCAAGGCATCGAGCTGAGCACTTTGTGCATATCTGGCCCAGCCCACTGCCACTCCCACTCCCAGCAACACATACATACGATGTATATACCCCAATCCGCCAGGACAATTGTTCGCTGGCATTGTAGTTGAGCCAGGAGCTGAACGGGAGTCACTTGCTTGCCAGCTTGGTCAGAAGGCAAAGCGGGTTGACTGCTGAATCCTAGGCGATGGAAGGGCTGGGCAAGTCCTTGGGGAAATTCCTGTCCATTGTACATGACTTTTGATATTTATGGGTAATTTCGTTTGCGTTTGCAGCATTTCAATGCGGCCAGGTGAGAGTGAGAAGTGCTGTGTGAAGATCCCAGGTTCCAGGTCCCAGCTCGCAGCTCCCAGCTCGGAGGGGCATAAATCAACATTTTGTTTTTTAATTTGCTCCATTGCCAACGCCGTCTGATTCCGAGGCTGATGCTGACAATGGCGATGGAGATGGGGATGGGGATGGCAGGGGATCTGGATGCACCGCATATATATCAACAATACCCAGGCGATAAGCCAGCAACTGGTCTGCTTCAAGTTTTACAATTAGGCGGGGCGAGAATTTATGATGGTGATTTTATCAAATAAATGGCGGCACTTGGCGCACAATTAATAATAAACTTTTGTATTTTTCGGCTGGCGTTTTTATGTTTCGTGTTGGCGACAAAGCGTTGCCATTGGCCATCAGGAAAATAAAGCGAAAAAGCCAAAGGACCAAGGACGAGGCAACCAAAAACGAGACCATTTACCTTCGTCAACCTGCTGACATATGGAATTTTTAATTCGGTTAAATTTTTCTCACCTGTCATCGTAGACAAATCCAGCGTTAAGTGTGTTTAGGTACAGGACAAAAGCGAGCGCCGAGCAGCCGGCGAGTCCTGCGAGGTCCTTGTGCGAAAGCGTTGGCGACATGCTGCAAGAGAGACAAGAAACAAGGCGAAAGTGAGACAGTCAGTCAGTCAGACAGACAGACAGACAGACAGACAGACAGAGAGACAGAGAATATAAATATAAAAGTCGAGTGTCATAAAATATATGCTGAAATTCATTCTCGAAGCCTCCTCCGGCAGCTACGGCAGCAACGGCAAGAACAAAGCACTTAATCCTGACTGAGACAGGTCCTCCGACTCGTCCAGCTGGGCCATTCTCTGCGGCATTTTCGTTATGACAACATTTACATATTTTCCTTTTTTATGCTGCCGATGCTGTTGCCGTTGCTGATGGCCTTAAGCACGGTTTAATTACTTAATTTTTTTTATTCTCGGTTAGCAAATTCAAGGTGGCCTCCATGGAATTTTTGATATTGTGTAAATACATTTAAAAGGGATTTATTGAGTTGTAATAAAGAGGTTTTTAAGATAAATGTGTTTACGTCAGAAATATTTCAACCAACTGTTATTAAGCTACTAATTGACTAGCATAAACCATTTAGTGTTCACTTATTTTCATCATTGAGCATTGACAGCTATTAAGGAATAATTACCTTTTTAGGGAAATCCTTTCGCCAACAAAGCACACCTATTTTTGGCCATCGAGCCCCTGCACAATCAGCAATCAAAACTGTTGAATGCAAACAAACCGAAACGCACGTGCCTAATGATTATTGCCGCAATGGGGCAAGGTATCCGAAATGGAATGGAGTGGAGTGGAATGATAAGGGACGCCGTTGCTCCGGCTGGACAAATGCCGCCATCATCGTCCTCATCGCCACCATTGACGTAGTTCCAGTGTAGTTGGCAGTGTGGTCAGCGTGTCTGTTCTGGCTGAACTCGTTTGTCATGGCATTCTTCGCTTTATATTAGCCGCAGACATGTTGTGTCTACGTGGAATCCGTCTATACAATTCCCCAGTGAAACCCCTTTCGAATAACCAGCGCCCGTTGTCGGAAATTAAATGTTACGACGACATTCTGGATCGTCCTGCCAAGCGAAACACCGAACATGCAATACTGGAGCTCAGGCTCTGAAATGCAGAATACGGCAATGGCATTCCCATTGTGCTGCTGCCCCCAACAAACCCATCCCGTAATCCCTAACCCCGTCCGGGCGAATCTCCATTCGCATCTGCTTTTGGGTGGTGTTGGCCATGCCTGTGTTGTTGTCATCATCACCATCAGCGCCATTTACGAATAATGAGTGTGGTTGGTGGCTCAGCGGCTCAGTGGGTCGCTGGATGGCTGGATGGTTGGGTGGTTGGGTAGCTGGGTAGCTGGGTATCTGGGTGGATGACTGGATGACTGGGCGGTGGATTCTCGGACCGGCTGGACAGTCATGCCTTGGTCAGGACACGAAAATTGTTATCTCGCACATTGCAGACGATTTCCGGCAGTCATTTGCCCACGTATGTATGTACACTGCGACTGTAACTCTGATCCAGGATCGGATTCAGATTCTGATTCAGATTCGGGCGCAGACGGGGTAATGCGAATTAACTTCGCACCAGTTGCAAATGACAATGGTCAACCAGGTAAAACCATTTATCAGATCGAAAGCACTAGTAAGTTGTAATAGTTTTGTTACCCTTTAATAAAAAGCAAGTCAAATTGTGTTGGTTTTTATTAAGTAAAAGCAAATCCTGGTAGTTTTACATCTTCCTATTTTGTTAGAGCAGCTCGTATTTCATTGAATTTATATTTATTTTAATATCAAAGTTCCTGGTAGCGTAACTAGGTTCCCAAAATAGTAGGATTTCCAGCTATTCTCGGCCCCCATTTATGAACACACAAATCCCTGAGACGAGCACGCCCACATCCTTTGAAGGAGCAACCAGTACGCTTGCAAGGACTCCCTTTTCGGCTTCGCAATGACGCTGCTAATGAGCTCTAATAACGATAATGACGCCCACGCAAATAGTAAATGTGAATACACATGCTCATATACGAGATACATTCATAAATACATCCATGGAATGGGAATGGGTCGGATGAATGGCCGTCATTTGCCGGGGATCATAATGGCTCTCTGGCCCAGGGGATGCAACTGATTGGCACTGTCGAGGATGAAAGCGATAGTTTGCCGGAATGTGCCTCTTAAATATAATGATTTCCCTAAAAATACCAAAGTGATTTTCGATGAAAACTGCTGAATGTCTATGCAAACTCATCAGTATCATTAGTTTTGGTACTTCTGCAATGATTCCTAAATAAGAATGACCTTAATAACTACGGAGGTTAGGCTGACCTAATTTTATGTTGTTTTAAAACTTGTTAGTTTGATTGAGATATCTAGTTTATAGTTCTGTTTTACATAACATTTATCACTTAGAGCATCATGTATCGTTCTTTATTGTATTGAATATTTTGCTCCTATGGCTGTTTAGTTACTTTACATTTAAATACCGATGTGCAAGCGTAACCACAAAAGAGCAAATTAATTGAAACAATTTAAACATAATTCGAAACGAATTAAACAAATATCCGCTACACAGACAAGGGCTTTCCTTTCGGGCTTTTTCCGGCGCTCTAATGACATCCCGTAATTCCCTACTGATACTTTAAATAACCGCCTTAATTAAATTTATTGATTTTTGCACTTTAAGCTTTGTTTGAGAGTTTGTTGTGCCTGCAGGCAAAACTTCAGGCCATGTCAGTGTCTTTCAAGTTCCGCGCAAACTTAACCCTGACAGACGCCGCCAGGTGTTGGTTGGGCCAAAAGTTGAGAACAAAGCGCAGACAGGACCTCCTTGAGCAGTCCAATTAATTTCGATTGTCGAAAATAAAGCGAGACAATCACAGGACGACGAGCGGCAAGTATATATTAATCAAATGGCGCCACAGACGAGGACAGCGGCAGAAGCGAGCAAAACGAGGACATCGAGCACCCTCCAGACGTGTCCTGTCTGCAGACATGAAGAGGCCTCAAGGTCCTGACGAAAGGCTCCTCAGCTGGCGTCGGGTATTACTTTGCTAATTTTCCTGCGCCAGACGCGCGCCATCTGTCCTTGTATCCTGGCGATGTATTTCTGCCCGGTAACTGTGCAAAATCCCAACTCGTTTACTAATCCTGCTATTTTAGTAGCTGGTTGAAGAAGATATTATGAAAAGTTTGGCCGGCCCTCGGAAATAACTTGTAAAGTATGCCATGCCAAATATATAAACGCCTGCTTTTGGACAGCTTCATAGGTCATAGAGCTTTGAGGAAAGGGTATCCGTTAGTCGCGTCCTTTTGCATTCCGCGCTGCATGCGGCCAAGGACGCGCTCGAGAAGTCAAAGTGCAATTAGCAGCAGCTCGCTTCTTTCGCTGGCTCCCCTTTTTATTTATCAGTGCAAATATTTATTTTCAATTTCGTATGCAAATGTCGCAGTCGAGCGTCCTCCATTAATCACAGCTGCACAGTTGGCGGCGTCGCGAGTGGGCGGAATGGAAAAAATAATTAGGTTGTCATGTTTACGGCGCTGAAATTAGCTGGCAGTATCGGGGCGGCACATCTTTGATGTTGATCTCGCGCAGCGCGAAGGAATTTGCAAAGGCGGAAATTTCCATGACTTTTCACTTTTTCACTTTTCACTTCCTCACTTGATTTTTTGTATTCCTACTTTATTCAGCTTTAGAGCTGACCCTGTTTCTGGGCCAACTGGAGGCGGACGGAAGTTGCAGCAAAATACGAGCGCAGCACACCTTAAACCGGATGCGGAAACATTATTCCCAAAATGTCAAAAAACATAACAGAAACCCATTAGACACACTTTGTTTCTGGGTCAGCCGGCAGACTTGCAACTTCCAAAAAGTGAAAAAGTGAAATCCCAGGCAGGGAAAAAGTCGAAGCTGTCTGAAGGGGAGAAATTGAAACAAAACGAGTTGAGTGGGTGGGCGGATGTACGGAAACTGACCAGGCCACTCTCTATTTCCCTCCTTCTCGCACTTTCCCTCTCTCTCTCTCTCTCTCTCTCTCTATTCGTCGCACTCGGTCTGTCTCTTTCTGTGTCCGAAAACCCGGTTCGCACGGAAATCAAGTTGTGTCAACAGCTTAAAAGCCAAAATGTAATAAGCCAGGGAAATGTAATGTAATAAAATATCAAATATAAAATGGCGATGGTCCTGGCAGGGGAGCATTTGTTGCCATTAAAGTTTTACTTTGAAATTGGAAGCAGAGGGCCTTTGCAAGTGGGCGGCAAAAGTGGGAGGTCGCAGCCAGCTGAGCATAAACCACTGAAGAAAGTCCAAGGACTGGGCTATAAAGATAGAGCTTAACTTGTATACCCTTACATGTAACAAAGAGGTTAAAATGTATATTAAAAGAAAAAATTGGGACAAAAAGGTTCACTGGCTCGTGGCATAATTTGAAGAATCTCCAATGGTGTTGTTAATTCCCAAAGTTCGTAAAAAGTGCTACCCCATCGAAAGGCGTGTAGAAAGTTTCGAATGCATAAATAAAGCCGCAAAAAGCGATTAAAATCTGTGCTACAGCTGGCAAATAAATAATATTGTGGCAAGCTTAAGGCCAAAGTAAATATGCTCGTGCCAAGTGCCATGAAACGGATTGCTTGCCTTGGATTTTGTGTAGCCGCAAAATATGCAATATTTTATTATTGTTGCCCCGAACAGTATGCAACACTTTATTTCAGCGCTATGCGCTTCCGTTTCGGCTTGGATTTCCTTTCGTCCTTCGCTCCTTTCGCTCCCTTCGCCCTCGCCCGCGAAGCCAAAGGACCTGGCTTTCGGCAGATCTGGAACAGTTCCAATCCTTGACTCCTTGGTGTTTTCGCTGGTGTGAGTGCCAAAAAGTATGCTAGATAGCTTTTGCATGCGATTTGAATGAGCACAAACGGAAGTCGCGCTGTGTTTGATGTTTTTTGTGTCCTTGTAGATAGAGCAGCACATGAGTGCCACTCGAAATCATTTTAAAACACTCGAAATCTGCTTTACGCTGAAGACTATTTCAGCTTGATAGTTTTCCTTGGCCAACTGCCTGCGGGTCTGCGGATTCATTGAGGGTTTTGAACTTTAAGCATAAGAATATCGAATTAATTAGGATACTCTTTTCCCCAAAGTATTTGAATGCAGAATGAAAACTTTTACAATTGATGTGCCACATAATTGAGTTCACAATCGAAAGTTCGACGCCGTATTTCAATCCCCCCATCAATGGGACATTGAACCAAACAACGAATAAATGTTTGTAAACTTTTCTCACCAGTATTTGTTCGTTCTGCCGGTTTATTTATTTTTTTCCACGATAAGAGTTCAATCAACCCATTGAGAGAGTTGTGCGGAACAAAAAGTTGTGAATAGACCGACTCTGTTGGCCACTCAGACTTTTTAATGACCGCTCCCAAATTCCCAGCCCGAAATTCAAAACTAAAGGCTGGGTATCAATACAAGCGCAAGGAGCGGGGCGATTCGGTGTGGCGTTAATTTGATGTCTTGCAGCATGTTGCACGCAATGTAGATGGTAATTAGGTCCGGGAAATGTCTGCAGACGGGGCGGTATTTGCTTCTTAATTGCGTAAACCAAGCGTTTGATTGCTATTTGCTCAGCAATTGACATTAAACAGTTGGGCCAATAAAAAATTAAAACGGAAGTCCCACAACAACGGGCATTCAAGTGCGAGTTTCGGCAAATATTTAATGTGTTTCGGGTTCGGGGTGTGAGACCTATGTTTTAACCCCCCGCCTAATGACTAACTAAACAAGCTGTTTTCCTACCCCTTTCCTTACACCCGCCACTGGGCCGCTGGCCGATATTAAAACAACAATATTATTATTAGCACAAACAGAAAACGGTCATTGGCCTACCCCCAATCGAAGAAGTCAAGAAACCTCAATTAGGCTGTCAATCAACACATTGAATGGAGTCGCGCCGAGTCGAATTGCCTCGTTTTGGCCATCGACATTCCGCCAAATAATAGAGCTATTGATTTTCTAACCCCTCTAATGACGCCCATGGCCGAGGGGGCGTTTTCTGACATGCCCCCGGCATTCCTTGATCGGTTAATTAGCTGCCTGCCCGCGGAATGGATTGCTCCTGATTTTCCCACTCTTTAACTTCAAACTGGAGCCAAGTCTGGGAATTAATCTGGCATACAACGAACTCTTGAGATGCAGCTCATCCATTTCCATTGCCAGAAGATAATCCCTTGAAGAACGGTGAAAAGTCGAATGGAAATACGGTGTGAGTGAGTGGGGGCAACTTTTTGCCAGTTGATAAACGAGCGGAACTGCAGGGGACTGTCAAATCTGAGCCTTTGTTCGATTTAATTATCGGTTGTACAAAGAGCTGGGCGGGCGAAATCTTTGCCGGGCTTCGAGGGCATATCCTTGTGGCATGTGGCATGTGGCATGTTGCAGGGTTGTAACAAAAAACCAATAATGAAAGTGGAGTTGCAATGCCGGCGATGTCAGTCCCTTGCAGCTTCACACTGCCCCAATGGGTCCCTCCCCCCAGCCGCCCACCGGCAAGGAATTCCCTCCCCTTTATCGATTAGCGCGTGTAACAGCTTTTACCTATGGGAATGTGAGTGCACTGAGCGAAAATTCCTTTGAAGCTTATACACAAAATGCCCCAGAGACGCTTAGTTTTTGAAGTGTTAAAATATGAGCACGAGATGTAACTCATTTCTTTCAGTGTCATTTACAATGTACACAAACAAGCAAGTTACTAAAACTGCTGTTGCCGATGACCTCGCAGCCCCGCTCCCCCCGGGGGAGTAAGGGGAGGGAGGGGGGGGGGGTGGCACGCGGGTCAAGGGGCGGTACTTGTGTATGTATGTGTGTGGCTGAGCAGAGCAAATGACGCTGCAAATGAAAGCAGGAAACGTTGCCACATTCATTCATTTTACACACAAAAGCCATTAACCGCTTTGATTCCATTGTTTTGTTTGTCATCATCATCATCAGCAGCAGAAGAGCAGCAGCAGCAGCAGCAGCGCCATCAGCAACATCACTCCCAAACCCAAACCCAAAACCGAACTCGAGCCCAAACCCAAGCACCATTTCCTGTTTCCCGGTGTAGGACCCCGCATTGCTGGCCATTTTCAATTCCCCATTCCCGCCAAAAGGTCATGGGTCACTAGGGGACAAGGGTTTGGGGCGAAGTCAAGGCTGCGATGTACACGACTAGCCATTTGATTTTTAATGGACTCGCCATTATAGAACCTATCACTAAATCCAAGGATAGTCCCATTTTCGGAATGATTACATCCAAATGATTGTTCTCTACTGCAGTTATTTAACTTTAATATGGACATTACAAACAAAGCATAACTGAAAAGTGAGTTTCAGATAGAAATCCAGCTTTCCTTAATGTTCTGATGTACAAATTACCCACTATACATATGTACATTTAATTCGATAGCAGCTTTAATTTGAGTATCAAGCGTAACTCCACAGATCTATTTATTATTTCTCCGGGCATTTTTCTTTACCTTCTCACCTATGACCTGCGGATATGTGCTGGTGGGGGAGTTTTAAGCCGAGCACTTTCACCCATTTGCCATTGTTGTCCCTCTTGCGCCCCAATATTATTATTATTGAAAGACTTTTGCTGAGCTGCGGGTTTTATAAAGTGCCTGCGGCTTGGCTTCCCTAGACCATCACCATCGCCATCACCATCACCATCATCGTCGACCGTGGACTCCGTGGATTCCATGGACCTTGTAGACCGTCTCCGTCCGTCCGTCCGTTCGTCCGTCCGGCGCTGGCAAAAAACGACTCTTGCGGAAAAATCAACATTGCACAAAAGTTTTCAGCGCTCCTCGTACCGCCAATACCCGGCACCACCCACTGGCACCGCCCACTAACAACCCACTTACACCCACCGACGCCACCTTCAACGTCATCGTTCATTTCGCTCCCTTTGCATTGCTTTTTTGTTTTGGCTTAGCGCTGATGATGTATGCACTTTGAAAAGAGTTGAGCAAAGTGGTTTTTCGGGTTTTGATGAGCTAACGTCAAGTCCTTTTGGCGCCCCTGGCCTTGCCACGCCCACTTGGTCGCCCCCTCCTTTTCTGGCTGAGAAATATGAGTTGGTGTGGATGGGTGTGGGTGTTTGATTTGCTCGTGTCGGTGTGTTTGACTTGCACTGCTGCATAAAGTTATTAATGGACTTCAATGGGGTTTCAATTATGCAATTTCTGCGATTTGAATTTGAATGATATTTTGATTGTTTGCTTGCGTTTGTTAGAGGATTCCCAAAATTGATGCATACGAATGCATTGTTTTAATTTAATCATAGAGCTAATGGCTTTGCGTTGGGACTCAGTCGAGCGTCAATTAATTGTTAAATAATTTACTTTGCAAATTAAAATGGACAAAATTCAACGAGTTTTTCAACACGCAATTTTAATAGCCTTTGATGTTTTAGCAATATTGGGTTTTAATTCATTAAGAAAACCTCTTATTTGGCCCAAATATGAGTGCATCAAAGGTGAAAAAGAACACTTTAGTAAGTTAAATATTTTTTTGGACAATATGATTAAATTTGCATTCGATACAACTATCTTCTTGATTTGCGTTTAATTTAATAACCAAATATTTTTAAAAGCTCAAACAAAATATTTTAAAAAGTTGAAAACTCAAAAATGCGCTTGGAGAGACCTCAAAATGAGTGCAGGGCTGCACTTTCACCGACTTATCGATATGGCGCTCTACTCTTAAGAAGATCTGGTCCCTCTAAATGAGGCTTCTTATAACTTAATTGGCAATTTCTGAATTAAGTTGAACCGAATTGGAATGAATTCACCCAGGTGAGCTACACTTAGAGATCTTTAAGGTACTTCCGCTTACTCTTGTTGATCATCAGAAACAAGTCGAAGCGCTTTAAGCCCATGGAAGCTCCGATCAAAACTAAAGTCATGAAAACGGCATTGAAGTCCCGGAAAACTCTATATAAGGATGCAAAACAGTCGTCTTCCAATAAAGATCCATCCGATTGCCATGTCCTGTCTAACAAAGCAGTCATGAAAAGTGGGGGCAGGCAGGAAAAGTCCTTGCCCATTGTGGCTCCAACAAAGTTGAGACAAAAAGATGTGCTGAGCATCTACGAAAACGTGGCCAAACTGGGCGACATAGAGCGATACTTGAACATTATATACAAGTGAGTTGAAAGTGAATGCACAGGGCGAATGTACCACATCTATTTGCATCCTATCATCTTATCCTCTTAGACCCTTCTACTGCTTGGGCATCACCACTTGCCAGTTCAATCTCTTGGAACTGGACCACGTTTTGGAAAATACCACATTCGAACCCGAAAAGCAAATGGCTGTGATCGTCCAGCGCTATTCGCCGATTTGCACTCTGAAGATCTATCCCCATGGCAACATTTATTGCCAGGCCTTTGGCAACAGCAGCGCCCAAGAAGGAATGACCAATATAATGCGAGAGCTGAGGTACCTGGGCTACAGGGCTCGTTTGCGACGGCTGAAGGTCAATGCGGTCAATGCCACCTTCAGTGTGCCCTTCAATCTGAGTCTGAGGCAGTTCCACCTGCAAAATCCAGTACTTACGCGATACGACACCTCGATGCATCCGTTCCTGATGTACAAGATGATGGGCACAACGGTCGAGTTAGCCATCTTTCCCACGGGCTTTGTAATCGTGCTTTTTGCCGCCACTAGAGGAATCACCCAGTTGGCCATAGCCCACGTTCTGCCCATACTGTACCGCTTGAAGGCTCCCAATCAGGATCAAAGCAAACTGTGCCTAAGCAGCGGCGATATCGACTACAAACTGCTATGGGAGAATCATTTCCAGAAGAATGGCGACATGACCAACGATTGGTAAATCCTCAAAATAATCCATAAACCATTTCAGCTCGTTTTATGTTATTTAAAAATAAACTTTCATTTTCCATGCCCACACAAAGTTTTGCTCTTCACGCTCTCATGATCTGGAGTCGGCTCATAAATGTCGGAAAAACGCCCGGAGTGGATTTTGTGCCCGCTTTAAATGGGTCTCAAAACTTTGTTTTATTACTAAGCCTGCCAAGCCCTCCGCAAGTCATTGCCTTTAAGTGGGAATACCCACAATCGGAGTCAGTCGAAATCACTCGCATATTTACAATGCAGATTTCCCGCTGCACTCCGTCCGGAAATCGAATGTTTGCAGTGCCCAGCCACCTGGGGGATATGGTTTCGAATGGTTATTGTGGCGGCAGTCCTGGTTGAGGTGGTGGCACACCGACTAGCATAATAAAAGTGACAGCGAGCAGGACAAAACCGAACGAAATCGAATCGGTAGCGAAAATGTGTCAAATGGAATTGGAAACCGACGGCTCCATCACTCCGAGCACTCCATCACCCCAAAAACCCACATTGCCCACACTCCTGACCAGGTGGCTTCGATTTGCGCTGGCCGACATGAAAAACAATTCAGTGTCATATTTGTGTGCCCGCCTTTGGTGTTTGTTTTGTAAGCGCAGCTCATCGGAATTGCCTCGGTGGTCCAGGTGCTGTTGGGATGCGGGAATGGAGTTCCCACTATTGTCCAGTAAAGTGCGAATAATTTGCAGCGCTTTTTCTGGGCGAGTAACTTTGCTGTTTGCCTTTCCATATGGGATAATGGTGCTGTGTTAGTTAGTGAAATCAGTTTTCACAATTTCCGATTAATGACAGCTTTAAGCAGATCGAATTTTCAGGTCAAAGCATTAATGCTGCAGTCTGCATAATAATATCAAGCAATGAATATTTGAATTCGCATTGCACAGCTGCGGTGCAATTAAGTTAATCAAATGGCGCACGTTTCCCTTTGTGGCTCATCCGGAAACTAAATCCACATAAGTAAGCACGCAGTTTTTGGTGGATTTGTGAGCTTTGTGCTGAGCAGCGGATGTGGATTAAGAGCTTAAGTTACACAAAAATTATATGTATTCACGCTGAAAAACAAATTAACTAAAATCTGCCCATTTGAATTTCAGGCGCAGAGCTAAAAATGCAAAAAGTAATTAATATTCTTGTGTTCGTGTGTCCGAAGGATTCGCATCCCGCAGGACAGTGCGGTGAGTGGAGCTGCGCCGGACTGCATTTTCATAATTCCAGGACAACAGCGAACAAAACGCTGGGGAGAGTCGGCCAACCCAAGAGGAGCAAAAACGAGAGCGGCGAAACGAAGCGCAGTAAATTCCGACGCACTGGAATTTATGCAGCAAATATTAACTTACCACACACACACACACATTCGAGCGAGTCCTGCCGCATAAATCCAAGTAAAGGAACGCTAAGGCAAGGACATGGGCCAGCCAAATGATCCCCAACCACCCGATTTGTGCTTGGCCAGCAAGAAGTGACAACAAAACTCATTAGCAGAACCGGCGACCGTGACCGTCGCGCAAAGGGGCGTGGCACCACGCCCACCCTCGCCTGCACAGTGGGCGTTGGCCGCCGTTCAACCGCAGACCGGGAAAATCGGTGGAAAACTCCAGAGTCCGAACAGAAAAACGCAGCGTGCACTTCCGTTTGGAGGCGAAAAGTTCCCATTTTCATGCCAGCTATTTTATTCATATTTTCACAGGCTGCACTTTATCTTAGTGCGGCGGTCTTAGTTGGCGAAATTGTGTGCAACCACGAAAATCTAATAAGCGCGCAAATTTGTTGACATTGCGCAAATGTTTTTTACGGGCCTAGCAGGAGCAACTTTCGCCAGTCCAGTTCAGTTCAGTTCGGTTTGGTTTGGTTCAGCCCCCAGAAAACAGGCAGCTCCTTCGTTAAAGATGACTGACTGGTGGTCTGGTGGCCTTGGGCCTTAACCCATTTCGGGGCAGTGCCAGATTCTCTTTTTGGCCAAATGAAAAGTTGTTCTCTGCGCCAATTCTCAAATAATTACGGCGGCCAAAAGGAACGGGTTCTCGGGGCGGATACGCAATATTTTAGAAATTATCTTTACCAACGGAATGCTGATGAAAGGCTTTCCAGTTTGCGCATAATTATTGTGCTAGATATTTGAACATGGCATTGTTGTACGAGAATGGAAATGAATGAGTGACATTTAAATCAACTGACGACAGTCGAACAATTGATTATTTAGCTGCAAAACCAGTAAGAACTACAACTTTTTAATATATATAATTTTTCTGTTCCCTTTAATCTAGGGTCAATCAGTTTCCCAGTTAATAAATGGGCCAGGGCCAGAGGAAAAACAGGAGCCGCATGAAGGGAAGGACTTGAGATCGCCACAAACACAAACAGCAACTTTCTCGTGTTTGTTCTGCCTTTGACAAGCCGGACGCGATGGTGCGTAAACCGTTTGGCTATTGCACTAAAAAATCCGGAATGCAAACCAGCAATGTTGCGGAGACAAAAGGTGACTTTGCATCGAGGACGTGGTTGTGCGGCCATGAGGACCGCCCACTGTCGACCCGGATGGTCCAGACAATTTCATTAACCGCTGCGCGCCGCTTTAAGGCCAAGACTTTGCCTCCTTTGATTTTTATCGGTTGAACTGTGACACGATGTCCTGGTGTCCCGATGTCCCGATGGCCCGATGTCCGGCTGTCCGGCTGTCCGGGACTGTCTGACAGGATTAAATGCGAGAGCTGCTGCCCGGGGACAGGGCGTAAAGTTTTTAATTATTTTTGTGGTTTGAAAATGCATCTCCCGACGACAGTCCACCCTTGCTGACCCATCTGCCCATCCGGTGGGTGGTTGCCCATCCAGGCAAAGGACATGGGCGGACTGCAGGATGAAGGAGCAACCGCAAACACTACGACTTTTATCAGCGCCTTGCCATTGTCGTGTGTTCCCCATGTCGGGCTCACTGCATTCATTTAAAAGAAAAGTGCAATAACATGTTATTTCGCCCCGGACGACAGGACTTTTGCCGCCTTTTTCTCCAGTTATGTGTACCCAGGACGATTGTTAACGTTAAGCGGCTTTAAAGCATTCCCTGCCTTATTACGTAATTACAATCGGATGACAGGGACGAAGGCACTCGCTGCATTGAATTATTCGAAGCACGCCAATAATTGAAACGGCGGGCAGGATAATTTAAGAATCGGGCAAGGTGGTGTGCAATCCGCCGAAATCAATGAAAAATTCAGTGATTTACATCCAGACATTTTTCGCTCATTATGGAAATTTATTTATTATCCCTATCCTCGCAAAAGGAAACTATGCAAATGGTACTGAAATGGTCAAGCCTGCGCTGAATTAATGCAGATTCAGCGGATTATTTGCCAATTTGATTGATTGCGAACTTATACAATTTTTTAAAAATAAGGCATCAGTTAAACAGCATTTGAGAAACGTTTTATCTTTGGTATATGTTCGAATAATATACAACATGTTTTTACTTTATGGCTTCGTTAAAGGCATAAGATTATTCAACAATATATAGCATTATGTAGAGAGTACTTATCGACTATTTATTCATGTCGCTTGGCTTTCTGTGCAGTTGCAAAGCTCGCATTTTATGCAGGTTCTCAGGAATTGCAGCTAATGCCATATTTTTGGGGCATGCCATGCACTTGGCTGGCTGAAAGAAAAGCAGAAAGCAGGGCAGCTATTTTTCGAGGAAATATCCGCACAAATTTTCACAATTAATATGCACTTCCTGTGCAGACGACTTGCAACCAGCTATGAATGCAGCCTTTTCCAGCCAACAACAAGTAGTGGGTGCATGGCTGGTATCGAATGGGTTTGGGATACCATGTCGTTTCGAGGAGAAGCCCAAACTGCCGCTGGGTTCACATGTGAGTTCATTGCTGCCATTAATGAATACGTGTGCAGCAATAAAGCCATTTTTTATGGTTGAAAGTCACGTGAGAAACTATTTAGTACATCTGCGAACGAGGCAGGTGGAAAGTGGGTGCAAAGTCGGTGCAACTTTGTGCCTGACACAGCCAGAAGAAAAGGCAACTTTCTTTCGCAGTCGCGGTAGAAGCCCCAAACGAATCACAGCAAAAAGTGAAAATATTTTCCAGCCACACACATGCATATTTATATGTGTGTTTTCTTTTTACAAGCCAGAACCAGAAACAGAACCCAAGAGTAAGGCATTTTGTGTGCGGGCTGGGCTGAATTAATTTTTGGCATTTATCAACTAAGCAAATTGAAATCGTGTCGGTCTAGTCTGGCATTCCTAACCCAGTTTATTGTTGGGCTCCTTTGTACCATACACTCGAGTACTTTTTGTGGCCTTAGCAGGAGCACCCATATGGCTGAACTAGTAAATCAACGAGTTTTTGATAGTTGCTCAACTTTTTTGGCACATCAGATAATTGATTTGCAAGTGGAGTGACTGGGGCGTTAATGAGTGACGCTTGCCAAAGTTTTTGATGGAAAAGGAAACGTATATCCTTCAAGGGAAACGTGCAGTTTTTCGATCAAACATTTGCGAGAATTTAAAGCCAGCTATTTGTAATTCCTTTTGACCAACCATAGTACTTTTCATATAAGAAGTGTGTTGCTGTTACTGAAATATCCCATATTTTAGTGCAGCCTAATCACTTCTTCTCCTCGCTGGAGGCGGAGGAAAATGAGTACTTCAATCCGCATTCTGGCCGACAACCGACCATAAAAGTACCAAAACTTGTGCACTTTATGGATCTCTTACCGCAGAGAACTAGCATTACGACCTTGTGGGCGGGCGGGCGTGTGGGCGTGTGGGTGTCTGGGCGATGTGGCAATGCACCCATTAGGCCGACCGGTAAATGAGCATTGAAGCAATTCATAAAACTGCCCAAACAAAAAGCCAATTTTATTCGCCCCAGGCACGCGTAAGTGGCGGCTTTCCTTTCTCCCTTCTGGTGGCGCCATTGTAATGGAGGTCCTGGGCCCGAGCTCTTAGAG